TCGTACACGATCGCGCAAATGCTTCTGGAACTGTGAATGAACTTTTATCGTAAGATTTGTCTTCAAATCGCATGTCAAGATATTCGTCCCATTCCCAGAGCACCGCGAACGTTCAAACTCTACATTTCATCGAATCACGCTCAATCACGGTCCCCTCTCTCTTCGGCTCGTTCCTCCGCCCTGGCTTTCATTCTGGTAATGAATGCTTGGCCTTTGTTCTTCCGGAAGGTTTCATACGGATCATTCAAATTGATACCGACTCCTTTATATTGATCGTTTTTATCGCGAATCTCGCCCCCGGAAATAGGTGCCTCGATACCCTGCTCATTAGCACCAAGACCCGCACCGCTCCAACCCATCTTCTTAAGCAATTGATGTCCTTTATTGCTTTCGTCAAGACTGATCTCTTGCGGAGCTTTGCTATAGGTGGAACCACTAAAAGCAAAACGAAATTTATTATGCAATTAATATATACGATTTAATATACAATTAATTTACATTTAATAACAAGAATCGTAAAAGAACCGAGATAAAAAATAAAAATATACAAAGAATACATTTCTTGTCTCATTTCTTATCTATGATAAAAGAAGGTAAATAAAAGATAACTGAGAAAGGAAACTAACACTATATGTTATACTCACAGAAAACTGGGAGGAGTTGGACTTCTATCTTGTCTATCCACTCTTCTATCGGGGCTACGATCTTTATTACTGTTCCTCCTCCTTCGGCTTCTACTAATATGATTGCTGTTACGACTGTTGCGTCTATGATTAGCCGCAGGCGATCTCGATCTACTTCTGCCCCGTGATCGCGAGCGCGATCTACTGCGCGACTTACTCCTGTAGCGTTTCTTTGGCGGACTAGGGCTCTTGGATCTCGGTCGTAGAATTGGCGAAGGGGATTTGGATTTCTGTCTAATCCCGGCGGCAATATCCTCTTCCTTGCGTTTGCGAGAAGCATTTTTCGCCTTATAGTACTCGTATAAGCCTAATTTTTCCCATCCGTCACTGCAAATATAATCAGAAATTCCATTTAAAAAGGATAAAAACATAGAAAAGATATTGTACCGCGTATTTTTATATATATTTCTTTATCTCCCTTTTTCCTCGAATATATTTAAACTTTTCAGACTACATTAAAATATATATATATATTTACCTATCCCTAGGAGAATCATGATTTGGCGGCGCATAAAATGCTTCCACAGCTGCAACTAGACGATCATTCGGTGGAGCCGGTGGTGGAAGTCTTATCGCATCCGGATCCAATGGTTTATATTCACCATCTTCTAGCTTTATCAGAGGTACCATCAGACCAGCTGGAAGCTCGAAATAAGGCATACTAGGCATCAAATCCTCTACAGAGGGCTCGTGAATAACAGGCGGCGGTCCAAAACCTGGTGGTGGCTTCGAAAAGTCCGGCAGGGGCACATTACTGAATGGTGGCGGTTCGCTCGATGATGGGACACCCCATCCTGGTGGTGGTTGACTGAAGTTCACATCTGTGCCCATCGTACCAGGAGGACCAGAATGACTAGGTGGTATCGATATATTCTGCTGATTCTGAACAGATAAAATTTTGCATAAATGTATGAAAAAAAAAAAAAAGAAAAAAATAATTTCAGTCAATACGATACTATACCAGTTGAGGTGGTGGCGGTGGTGCTTTCAATTGCTGATCTATTGCCATTTTTTGTTGCTCGATATTCTGAATTTGTCTCAACGCGTGAGTGACAAACGCTTGATGCTGCGCCTGATAATTATCGAACGTCTGTTTCGTCGATGCTGTAATTGGAGTAATCGCAGTAGCATATTGCGCTACCAAATTAGCCTGATACTCTGACCAGGATGCGCTCGGTTTTTTCAACTTATCTATAATCCCTTCATCGAAATAATTGTTCTTTGACTCCCACAAACTCAACAGTTTATTCAGCTTATTAAGTTGTTCCTCGGATGCTGCTAGTGAAGTGTTACAGAACATCGGAACAACAACACTTTCCATCGCTTTTCGCAGATCCATAGACTTTTTTCTTGCACTGAAGAAGTTTCCAATTAAATATCTCATGCATAAGTAACACACATGACATTTTAGCTTATGATACATTGTCGTTTAATATTATAAAATTGTAACTATAAATCAATACAAGTGTATGAAAATAATATCGGGAATTTTTAGATGTAATTAGAACAAGTCTTGAGATTTTACACATTATTTTGAAAATTTATCGTAATTATATGGACATATGGGCATATGGAAATAAAATAATATATTTGTAAGCATAATAATGGAGGGGGGGTTTATACTAACCAATGATGTAAGACGTCGTTCACTAGGTAAATAATATGCAGTTTATGACTAAAGGTTGTCCCCTGAATAACTCTAAAAAAATATTTAAATGTAAATAAAAAACGCGTACACATACATATTGTATATACAAAAACACATATATGTTTATACATACTTTTTTAGCAAATGATCCGCGACAACTTGATTGCTTTGTGAAGTAAGTGAATTCTGAAGTATCCAGGCCTTTCCTGCGCTTATGCTATCCTTTGTGCAGCTATCGATGATCGGTTGTAGCACCGTGTCAAACGCAGCCAGATCTGTGTTCGTATTTTGCGCACTGTTTTGCAAAGCCTGTTCCTGTGCCTGCCTCACTGCGTCCTCTACTCTTCCCTGCTGTTGCGCCATCAATGCAGCGTGCTGCGCAGCCAGGTTCTGTTCTGATTGTCTAACTTGTTCCTGCAACGTCGTCTGCTGCGACTGTAGGTTCGCCAGTTCATTCTGTAGCCACGCGGGTGGGCCCGCGATGTTAACCGTTTGCGCGACTCCGGCGATCGGCGGATTCACACCTCCCATGGCGCCGGAAACCGATCCGATTGGCGGCCCTGCATTTCCCGGCCCTCCGATCTGTCCAGGCAAAACGGGACCGCCCTGACTTCCAATCCCGACCACTGGGTTTATGCCATTGTTTTGTGTACTCAGACCGGACGCAAGATTGACGTTATTCAGTGGCTGCGAGACGGCGTTTGCGGCTGTTTGCTGCTGCTGCGAAACGTTTAAACGTGGGTCTGCATTTTGCATTGGATTTATTCCTTTTTGCTTTAAAACTGTAAACGAATGACGGTAGATTATTGTGAGATGCTTGAGTCCTTGTCAATCGATATTTGAAAAATGTGTATACAGATAGCTCGATTTTTTTTTCTGCCGAGTCTTATCTTCTACCGGTGCATATAAGAAAATTCTTGGGCATTTACACGAGAAAAGTATAGTATCAGAAAATGCGATAAGTCTTTTGGGAGCACTATACTCTTTTTTTTTTTTTCCTTTTTCTACATTTTGTACGAGGGTATTACAGGGCATACATTATTTTGTATGGTGGATTGTATTTTCCACACACAGATTGAAACGATGCGACAATGTACTCCGTATTAGATAAACTCCAGCAAGAGAATCTTAAAACTACATCTTCGCAAAATTGCCATTGCCAAAGAATGCAAGATGTTTTTAGTATAAAAGCATTCTGCTTAATAAATAGCAATCCCAAAATCTTGAAAGAAAGATTGTTTTTATTCGACGAATACATTTTGTACGTTTGCAATGATGAAATCAGAGACCTTGTATCATTTTTTAAAGTCATTCCTTTGCTCGTCGTATAAAGCATGACCATTTTCTTATGCTTCTCAATCACACTGTAGCTGTTAAGGGGGTATATCCCACTTACTGGCTTGTTCTGTAGTCACTTTGTATTGATAGTAGTTGAAGTGCTCCCCCCCAAACAGGAAACCAAACTTCGGGTTGTCCTTCTGCTTGTTTTTTGTCATCTGCTCGAACTCTGGTCCATTGCGAGCGACAAACTGCGCCAGTTTGTCTATGATGTTCCGTAACTCTGTGTCTGAACGTTATAAACAAAAATAACAAGAATTAGAGATCCAAACTCAAATAAAAGAATTAGGATCTGTTACTTATTAATCACATCTAATTAATCAATTTATTACTCTTCATTACTTTTCGATCCTATAGAAAGTCATGCATTTATGCTTAAACGCACACTTTCTATTAATCAAATCATCAATTAACCACTCTTAAAAGTAAGAATAAAACTATAAAATTTTACATATGCATAAAACTGTGTCGCTATTACTGTGAACAAAAATACATATTTTTATATTTCAATACAAGAGTAAATTGTAATAAAGTCCACTTACATGGACCCCTATAGTATAGTAAAGACCATTATATAAATTAGTTATAAGAAATCTGTTTATTATTCCTGTGCATGCTCCTTTAAAATTCAATAACTATAGCATTATGTGTATCTTACACCCGCGCGCGCGTAACCTAATAAAAGAGAATTTTCAGACACTAAATATTTAAATACATACGTTATTTCTCTACACATATAATTTAAATAAAACCATAAAACGCAAATGAAAGGGTTACATGTTCGCAGTTTAATATGCTTCGAGGGGAACGCAAATGGGATACGAGGAAGTGCGTATATATGTATATGGTGTGTGCAGAGTGTGCATGTATGTGTGTGTGTGAGAGCGCGCTGGGACCGGATCGGCGAACCTCGAGACAGCGTGCTCACCTGCGGGAGCCTGATCCATGTTGGCGGGCGCTCGATTATGGATGTCCTGTTAAAACTACCCGTCAAAACGTTACGTGCTCACTCGCTCGGTCGTCGTCTCGTATATAAACGGAATACAACTTGGCGAAACATTATTCACTCACGGCGGACCCGACAACGCGCTAAACGTCGCCATTACGATCTCGCGGCGGCTGACAGTGCCGCCAACTTAACGACGTTACCGGATCTTCGAGTTATGTTGGACACGATGATATTCGGGTAACCAATGGGAGAACTTGTTCTCTAGGGTTTTCTGGTTGTCGGTACGATTGTCAAAAGACAAATTTTCCCATTGGATAACGGAATTCAAAGGAACTATGGCTATTTTACTATTCTCAATTTTATTGCGACAGCAATATTCGAGAAGGCATCTCCGGTATTGGTTTCTTCCATCTTGAATTCCACGTCATACCACATGGATGTGTAGACGTGCGATTCTAGACGAGTGTCATCGACAGTTTGCGCTTTATTTCGTTTATTTCATTGTGACTTGTATTGCATCTGCTTGCTGCGAACGTAATTTTACGGTAAGGTGTGATTTCCGATAGCGAATTTCCTTCCCTTGACGCGGCGTTTTTTGTTCACTTTGTGTTTGTCGCGTCGAATTTACCTGTAGTCAGCTGTGTCCACAATAATGTGTATTTTTTCACTCGTTTCTTTTGTTTACACGAGCTTTTATTTTCGCTTAAATAAAAATTATTGATAAAATCGAATATAAATTCCAATTTTTAGGATTTTTCAATTGCCAATATAATATTATATATCATAGGTTAGCTTGTGTCTGTTCACATTTTATAACATGATGTACCACATAAGAAGAGAGAGATAGAGATAAAAGAAATATTCTTATCAATTCTAAAAAAAATTATTATATTGCAATATTGCTAATTATCATTAAATCATAATTCAGTAGAGTTCACCTAAAAAAAAATTTATATCTTAGAGAAAATACATTAACATTTTTTTAAACATATTACAAATATAGTACTGTATAATTTTATATCTAATTTGTTTCAGCATTTGTGTACATTTTCTGGCTCTAATAGCGTTTCATTTATTGTAAAAATAAGATGACTGACAGGTCTTTAACGGGTTAAGTATAATAAGTATTTATGTAGGTGTTAATATCATATAAATCATTCAATATGTCAAACATCAATAAGATTTGATTTCTAAACATTAAAGTTTTTAAAATAAATTTTACAATGTAAATATGTATAATCACTTTTAAATATAATTTTTTTATTAATAGACAAAAGAGTAAAATTGAAAGCTGAATTTTTTATTTGAACACTTATTTTGATTCTGTTATATAAACAGGCAAAAACATTTTAACAGGATAATATTGAAATTCATGTTTAAATAAAATATTCAATATATTTATAGAGAAAAATAATCACTTAAATATTTTAGAATTTGATGTTTATACATGTTGCACACACATTTACTTTTATATTTAAAAATGACATTTACACTTGTTTAAATCTATAATAATATACAACTTACAGAGATGCCAGTTGCACAATCCGAGGTAAAGTCCAGCTGGGCTGATGAAGTCGAGGAAGAGGGAGGAGCGTTGCCTGCGCCATCAGAAGTCTACGAGAATGGTTTCAAAATCCTCACTGAATACAAATACAATCAAGACAACAAAAAAGTCAAAGTCGTGCGTACTTACAAAATAGAACGACGTATAGTATCGAAAACGATCGCAGCACGCAAAAATTGGGGAAAGTTCGGCGATTCCGTCGATGACAGGCCGGGACCTAATCCAGCCACCACTGTCATCGGTGAAGACGTCTTTATGCAATTCATATCTAGCAAAGAGGAAGAAAACAAGGTAGAAGAAGATTCCCTGGACAAATTGAAGAGCATGGGCGATAAGGGTGTTGTCAAGTGTCGTAACTGCAACGGTGATCATTGGACTTCCAAGTGTCCCTATAAAGATACTGTTCTCGCTGGTGGTGAGTTACGTTTGTAATAATCGGCTAGCAAACATACATTAAGTACAATTAAATCAAATTTAATAAATAATTAAATACTATTATTTATTATTGTAAAATTCTGATCGCTAAAAATTTCTGTTTTAGGAAAAGTACCAGATGACAAGAAACCTGTAGTAAATGCAGGAGCACCCGGTGCAATGGCCGAGCTTAAACCACAGGGTGGCAAATACGTACCGCCCGGCATGCGCGACGGTGGCAACAAACGCGGTGACTCGATGCAAATGCAGAGGCGCGACGATACGACCGCCATTCGTATCTCTAATTTGTCGCAGAGCACGACGGATGCTGATCTGGACGAGCTCGTGAAGCCTTTCGGTTCTGTAGTGAAACAGTTCCTCGCCAAGGAAAAGCTGTCTAATCTCTGCAAGGGCTTCGCGTACGTACATTTCAAACATAGGGCAGATGCCGGGAGAGCTATCGCTACTTTGGATGGTTATGGTTACGATCATCTTATCCTGAAAGTAGAATGGTCGAAACCGCAAGTTCAAAATAATTAAGTAATAGATTAAACAATTCAAATTGTATGGCATACTGCTATTTACTTATTGAAAAAAATTCCCATGAAATAGAGAACTGTATTTGTATGAAATTGTACACATTCTTATGATATCTGAAATAGGAAGACAATAGTGGTCCATTCACTATATTTAACCCTAAATGTGAAAGTCGGATTATCAATCAGAGATTTTTGATATTTAGTAATGTTAATATATATATAAATATGTCGCATTCAACCAATGTAAAATGTAAATTTCTACATAAGAATCTATAATATATGTTTTAATTGATAAGATTTTCAATATATATTAATCTTTTTACTATATATTTCCTATGCATATATAATAAATATTGCATTACTCTATATGTTTATATATATTTATTTATTTAAGTGCATAGATTTTATAATATATTAAGTAAAAGATAAAAGATTTTACTTGTGTATTCATACTGTACATTCATTTAAATGTGGTAAATAGAAATTTTCATTTTACGTTGGTTATATGTATCGCGCGCACGTATTTATATATTATATATATAACAGCGTTCAGGCATGTATCACACAGTGTTCAATAACCAACTTGAAATAAAAATTTCTATTTATCACATTTAGTGTTGAATGTACGATGTGAATACACAGACTAAATCTTTTATCTTTTACTTGATATATTGTAAGAGATTTATGCACTTAAATAAATAAATATATATAAGTACTAAGAAAATAATATGTACAATATTTACATATATAATAAATGTATAGCAAAAAGAATAAATACATGTATTGAAAATTTTATTAATAAAAAAAAAAATATATTGTAAATTCTTGTATAAAAAATTTATTTTTTTAATTTTTATATATCTTGATCATTGAGAATTGCAAGAAAATCTACAATAATAGGAATTATTACCTTTAAAATTTGTGGAATCGGGATGATAGAGAGAGAAAAAGATGATGAATTAGACCTGGAATTTCATTTATACATTGATATTAGAAGTGTAAATCACTTAGCATATAGACAGTTTTATTTCAATATATTACATAGATTATATTGAATCACAATGAATGTAATTACATTTGGATTTGGCCGCGCGGTCGCGGTCTATGAATAAAGACTTAGGTACATATTTCCGGAATCGTAACGTTATGTCTAATACAACCTTATACAATGACTTATAGAAGACTCCTTGAAGGTACACATCCATCGCTAATTACAATATAATACATCATTCGTCGTATCCTTTTGCTCAGGACCAACAATATATGCTGTTAAGAAAAATAATTCACAAGTAATATAAGATGGAAAAAGATATTTTGAGGACAAACGCCGATGATCATTAGATAATTGGATTCATCATTGGATATTATAAGAATCAAATGAGAGGAAATATTAATGCAACTCGCAATATTCTTTTCTTACAAGGAATCTAAAACACCCTGTAATAATTCAATATTCTGCAAATATAATCGCCAATAAAAGATTGGCCAGCTGGAAAATGTATGATTAAAATTAACAACTATCTTGAACTTTGCGCAATACTTTGCACATTTATCCATGTAAAAATAGATCCGTGTAAAGCATACCGAATGGCTTAAAAAGAGATTAGGAGAAGAGATGTATATTTTCTCATCGGTAATATATTATATAATCGATATTAAAATTGCAATAATATACATATAGCAAAAATGAAAGTTTTAAACTCTGAATTATAGGTTCTTTAATTTTTTTCAAATGCCTACCAAATCTGTTTTGTTTAACATTTTTCTTTTGGTCCAGCCGGTATTCTCCTCGATTCACAAATTATGAGTTATCGCTACTTCGTCAGAATGCTGGGTCCAGCGGCGTGCTTTATCACGTGACGTTTATCTCCTCGTCCTCTTCGTTCTCCGTTTGCTCTTCAGGCCTCTGAGGACTCGTGAGCGGACTCACGTCGCTCAGATCCATCCTCGGCCGATCCCCATCGGCGTCGCTCAGATCTGGATTGGGATTGTTTTTGTTCGGTAACGTCTGCTCGCGCGAACCACCGGTTGCCAGGAGCTCTCGCTCCTTGCTGTTTCGCCACTTCATGCGCCGATTTTGGAACCAAATCTTCACCTGTAAACACAATCGTTAATCCATTATTTCTTGCAGTGAAACCCACAGTTTAAATTGCTTGAATATGATAAAAAATATTTCACGTTTTGTGGGAATTTTATCAACTTTTTATTATTTTTCATATAGTGTGATTACTACTGTACGATTAAACTAGCAAATATTTTTCAATTACGTTCACTTCTGATATTTCCATTCCATCGGCAGATGGTTGTATAGTTTAAATTTTAGGAACCGTTATTAGCCATCGACTGTTTTTAACACACAGATTTTGTCAAATCCTTGATTTATAATTACGATATCTATTTATACAAGATTTTTCACGCACTTATACTTGCACCTCGCCTAAAATGCAGAGAGGGATTACTGTACGAAACGACGTATTTTACGCGATACATGGCATAATCAAGGAGACCCTGTTACTCTCCCGCGTTAAGAAACCGCTGAACAGGCCAACGTCAAACACACACCGAGCATCCCCGAAAGTCCCTTTCACCCACCCTCGTTTCCATCCGCCTCGTCGCCCCATTAGCCGCTTTATTATACGCGTTCTACCTTGAGCGAATCGTTGACGACCCCAGACGCGGATTGATCTACCTAAACTGCTTTCCGAATTTTCATTCGCCGCGATGGTGTGCACTTGACACCATCACAGACTCACCACCTTTTGGGGGATCCGCGTGCTCACCTACACAAATACAACACACTTCGCGCTGCCCCTGATTGATGCCGCGGGACGTGATGTTCGATAATTTGCAGACGTTCTCGCCGAATGAACGCTCAGAGACGGAAACCATCTCCATTTAAAGATTCACTCTCGAGAAATTCGTTCGTTTTATTTGCGCTTTTTACTCTTTGCTTCTTGCTTTTTGCTTTCAAAGTCGACGCAATCAAACATTTCGTGCATTAAATATGTGATAAATACATATATATAAAGAGTGAACATTTCTGTGTGGAAATTTGTCATGAGGTAGCAGTTTGAAAAATAATTGGTCATATTTTCTAAAACAAGATCATCATATACAGAAAATCAAAATTAGCTGAGAGTGACGCATTTTAAAATTACGCGTAATTTTATTCAATGTAATAACACATCATTTTAATTATCTGTAAAAGATTAATTGTGATTTCTAGGAGCAAACATAATATAAACATCCGCTACCATTTTTATTCGAATAATAAAAATAACGTCGTACGATCTTTCGAATCGATTAAATAGGACCAAGAGGATGGCGTGGATTGTTCATTTTGAGTAATGCACGCATAATTTAGCGACAACGTTCTCGAAATATAATATTTTTTCACAATATGTTTCGCGCGCCGATGGGCGGGCCGAAGGATGACGCGGATAAAATTTTCGATACTTTCATAATGTATATCTTCGACGCACGCACGCACGCACGCACGCACGCACGCACGTATGCATCCGGCCGGCAGGGCGCGATGCGTGCATTTGACACCGCGCGCCATCATTAATACCGGCTCTCGACCTAGAGAGAGATTGAAATTTAATGTAATTTATTATTTTTTAATATATCCCAATGAAACGTTTTACGCGGATATTTTCGATGCGCCCGGCCCTCCATCCTCCTCTCCCCCTGGCCCCGGTCACTCGAGGGGTTGGGAGACGCGGGTGTGTGCGCTTGACACCGCGCGAGTTAAACGCGGGTTTTGACGCGTTAATGTGTTTTTCCGCTTTATAACGAGATCGCCGGGTGTATCGCCGCGTATTGAGAAAGGAGTCACGACCATAAGCGCTCATCGAGAGTACGAGATTGTTTACGCGAATGCTATTCAAAAGCGCGGACGGCTGCGATCATAATCGTGTCATTAATCGCAAAGATCTGTTATTAAAACGGCTTCATTTCATTCGGCTACTTTTGAATAGCTCGATTTTTATTTTAATTACTAATTTGATATATCGTATAAATTCGTCCAACATTATCGTGATATTGAATAAAGATGTGTTGAGGATAATTATTATAGTATCTGCGATAATATTATCGGATTTTTCGAGAAGAAAATATCAGAATCTCAAAGTGACAATGAAGAGTTAAAATTATTGTTGAAATTATAAACACCAATATTTTCTTTTCTATAATAATTCTGAAAATATGAATCCCAAAAAATGCAAATTTTAAGAAAAAAATTATTTATTATTAAAACAGTAATAACGAAATAAAAAAGTGATATAAACAATACAAAGTTCAAGATACAAAAAATTATAGACATAGTTTTTAAAATTACAAAATTTTCAATCGAGAGAGAATGGCGATATCTATTTCTTATCGATTAAATTTGTTATATTCACTGCGAATAATTACGAGGACCTCTCATTAAGTGCCAAAACGAGTAATAAAGCGATTAACGTAAACGTATCCGTGATACGTCCCGGCATCATTATAGACCTCACAACGCGACACTAATAATTCTATCAATTACATGATTCGTTTTATCGGTGTAACGCGCTGACTCGCCGCTCAACCAATTGCGTGTCAATAATATTTGTAGCATTTATACCTAACGCTTGTAATATTGCAGAATACGCGTTTAACCAGAAGTCAATCACAGTTCACACGCATGTAGTGCCGAAATCAATTCATCGCGAATTACGGTGAATTTGATTGTAGTTGCTGATAGAAATCCGAATACCGATGAAATTTCGTAACAAATATTAAATTTTGCTAGCGACGAGATAAAATTCTCAATAGGTATTTGAAAATGTATAAAAAATATGCACTGGATGACTCTCAAATTATTATTTCAATGTTACAAACTTTTGATGTTTAATATTAAATATTCTGATAAATGGTGAGAGGTTCTACAATTAAATTAACATTAACAAATAAAGTTTATTTTAAAAATAAAAATTTAAATTTAAAATTTAAATTTAAATTTAAATTTTTTCATCTATTCGTACATCTATAAAATTTAATTCGCAAGAATTTTTAAACTCTGCAATAAAAATTTTATTAACAATATTCTGATAAATGAGAGATTCTACAATTAAATTAACATTAACAAATAAAGTTTATTTTAACCAAATTAAAATTTACAATTTTATCATCTATTCGTACATCTATAAAATCTAATTCGCAAGAATTTTTTAACTCTGTAATAAAAATTTTATTAACAATAAAATTATAATTCTCATACTTATCGTTTTTCTCACATCTCTAATAAATCTCGCTTTTTTTTCAAAATCTGCTTAAAGAGAAATCAATCTTTAAATTTGACGAAGCATTTATTATCGAAAGCAATAATAGCGACGATTCGAAACATTTGGGACAGTCTCTTTTTTGTGTTGCGTTAAACAACGCCATAAATTAAATAAACAAGTTAACAAACGGCTGTAAAACGGCGGGTAATTATGCGTCGAACGCTATAACACGCAGGAGAGAGACTCTAAGAGGTGAGAAAGTTATATTCGTCTGTACGATGAATTAATTCACCTATATACTCGCCCCGCAAATTTTCATACGCCGGGATGTATGCGTTTGACATCATGTAGACCCTAACGATCTGACGCGCGCTAATACACTCTTTAGCTCTAGGGTGTTACCCAGACGAGAGACTCTGTGCACCGTTGTTGACCGTTTACTACAACCCCGGACCTATGCGATATCGTGGACGCGCGTGTGTTTGCGTTACCGCGCGTAAGTGACGCATGCAGTTTTAGGATATCTAACTCTCTTGTGTCTGAAAGCAATAATTAATGCATTCGCTCGACGCAAATATGGTTCGAAACTTTTCCACCTTTCCTCTGTGACCGCACGTTAAATTACCCTTAAACAATACGATGTACTATTTTGTGTTCCTTACATGGAAAACTTAATGCTACAATAGAAAGTGCACAATAGTAGCAAAAAAACTGTCAAAATTACGAAAAAAAAATATTTCTTACATTTTTCTTATTGTTTGAAAAATCAAATAAACAAATCCGGATTATAAAAAAAGTTAAAGTATCACAAAATAATATGGTTTTTGGCATCATCATAAAAAAAATATTTGTAATTAATATTTTTTTCAAATTTATGACAAAAACTTTTAATCGTGAATACCCCTTGAAATCAATTGCAAGAAACAAAAAAACGAGTAATTTACAGAAAGAGAGAGAGAGACAAATATTTTTCTACAATTTATAGTAAATAACTTTTAAACGAGCAAATGGATCTAAATCAAGTTTTGCACAAATATTTATTAAAATTTTCTTAATATATGTGAAAATTTTTATTTTACTGGCAATGTTTTTTCCTTGTCAAATTTGTCAATAATACGCGATTTTCTATAAGAATCAATAGTAACTTTAAACTTAAATAATTTCCAAACTGTTAAATAGAATTGTGCTTAAGTTTTGCATAGATATTCAGAAGAAATAGTAGAACAATCTACGAAATTTTCATGCTTTTGTCAATGTTTCGACATATGATATATACATCCTTAAGAAAGTAATGAGCAAACGATGAATTTCTCGAGATTATAGCGTACGAATGTTTCTCTTAAATCCTATATATATACAGTTTATCCTAGAAATTTTTTTTACTACGATATAAAATCACCTTCACGGAAGTGAAGTAATCCTATTTGACGGAACAAGAAATTTGTGTGGCATTCCTTGAACATACACTCGAGTGCTATAATAAAACGTATGTGATAATATACTTGGGTCGTTCACGTCGAAATCTAATTTTTTGACAGGTAAAGAGACAAAATTATGACCAGTAAAGAACACACGTTTTAAGCTCATTTTTTTACTGAAAGCTTGCCGCCCAAATATTCCTTCAAGAAATCAAACGGATGGAAATCTGAATGTTTGCAGTTTTTCCTTGGTTTTCTGGGAGATGTGTGTTACAGTGTGTGTTACAGTGGTTCAGATATCAGGATAACTCCTTCTATTTTGCCAGTATTAACGCATTGGTACGTCGATGGCAAAAATGCTGTGATGTAAATGGAGATTACGTTGAAAAATAAATATTCTTTACTGGTTATAATTTTGTCTCTTT